TTTTGCATATTTGATTAATTATTTTCTCTCTTATGAGCTGCTTATGAATAGTAGCCCTTGCCTTTTGACTTACCATTAGTATAAGTGTGGCCCTTGGGAAAGAAGAAGGATACAAGGGCAGATGGGGAACCACAGAAATGAGTAGGCAGGCTAAGGAGAAAGACGTGGGAGTGGCAAGACTGGGAGGGAATTTAAGTATTACCATAGGAATGTGGGTGGCATCCTGTTTTCAATAATAAGCTATCAAAGCCAGACTGCATAGGTCTATGTTTCTAAAAGACAATGGTATGGTAGAGGGCCCAACATGCTACTAATGAAATGGCCAAGAAATTCTTCCAATTGTGGTGAGGAAGCCAAGTAATAATAGTAGAAGAAATGTAAAGAAATGTCCATAAAACTATAATATTGTAGGTAAATTTCTAAAGAATAAAGTATAGTTGATAATTCCAAAAGGAGAAGAGAAAGAAATCAAAAGTGGTAGGCTTGGCCTGAAGTTATATTTTACTGGTAGAGCTCTTTTCCTAGCATGTGTGAGGTCCTGGGTTTGATCCCCCCAAAAAGAAAAAAAATGTAGTAGCTGGATGGTAATATGATTGGGTGAGAGAGGAAAAGGGAAGAATTAATTTAAGATTAATACAAATTATAGAATTAAGAGGTCAAACAATGGAGAAAATAAAGTAATAAAGCAAGTCAGCCTGGATAATGAGTACTATCAGAAAATATGTGGGAACTCCCAATAGAAACTTGCAGCCAGTTGTATGGTTGTAGGGTTATATGTGTATGTGTGAGCACATATGTGCATTTACTTTCACTTTGCTTTGTATTTCTGTACATCTTTGTGATATGATCCCTATATATATGTATTTCCAAATCACACATTCAGGTGTGGAGTTGTAATTTAAACTGAGAACATTTCTGGAGTTTTTATGCTTTGCTAAAATTCTTGTTTTATTCTTAATTCAAATTACATCTGAAGATCTATAAAAAGTCATCCCAATATATGTACATAAACATTTCAAGAAGTATTTATGGAATGTATAATATGTATTTGAAATAGTTGGGAAGGAAAACAAAAAAAGAAAAGTGAAAGTAGAAATAAGAGAAAGAATATAAAATATAATTCATAAAATACATAATGACAAAACAATACAATAAAAACGAGTTCAAAAATCTTAGAAAAAGCAAAGTAAAAAGCCCCCAAAATAAAAAAGGTTATATATAGCATATTTATGAGAGGCTTTTGATTCTCTTTTATTCTGAGTTGTGTGGTTTGCTGAAAGACATAGAGAAGTGCCCAATTTCATTAGCAAGAAAAGAAATGCAAATTTAAGCAGCAAGATGTTGCTTTGCATATATTAGATGGTAAGCATTTGGTTAGAAAATAAGATCAAGGTAGAAAGTGAGCTCCATGGGGCAAAGATTTTTTTCTGTTTTGTTCACTGATGTGTTCCTAGTGCCTAAACCTGGGGCAGGGAGAATAGTGCCCATCTCAAGAGTTAATGAGAGATTAGTAAACAGGGCACTGCGTGCAGTAGAGCTGTGAGTTTTGGAGTCCTCCTGGATATGGGTAGGTAAGTTATAGCAGCCATTCAGGATAAAAAATTCTCAACATTTAGGGTACACAAGACATACAATCTAGCAATCCTGAATGCATACCAAAGACTTTCTTTTCTACAGTCATCAGAGTACATGTACTAGGAGGTTTACTACAGCTTTATTCATAATAGTAGTGTTAGAGTCAGGCCTTGTATCCATAGTTAATGGAATGAATAGTTAAAATGTTGTCAATAAATACTACTGTAATGTCATGTAGTAGTTAATAGCTATGGACTAGATCAACATAACTACCTGGATAGATTTAATAAATATAATATTAAGTGAGTGAATTAAGAAACAGAAATGACACCTATGTGTATAAAAATAAAATTCATATGAAGTAAAAATATATGTTTACAAAACAATGGTACATATCTTTAAAGAACATAAATAATATATACAACAAGTAGTAGACCAGCTGCCCTTGAGTAGGAAGAATAAGATACAGGAATTAAATAACTAAAACAAGAGAAAATGTCTTAATAAGTAACAATATTGGTATAAATTAACAACTATTTTAAAAGTCACAGAATATGAAATTCCAATTTGAGGGAAAATACAAGAATTTGGTTTATCTTTGGTGAATTTATTTTATCGTTAACTCTGAGCTGACTGTCTCCACCTCCCTGCTTGCTGGTAGACTTAAACTCAAAGATAGAAAGATTATGTGTCTCCCCTTCCCCATCCTTTCCCATGGCTATTTCCTTAAATCATTAAGTCTGTGCAAAAGTGAAGTGAGAGCCTCTGCATTTCCAGAGCATTGCTTTCCTTATTCTTCAAAAGCAAATATTAAAGACTCACACCCCACTAACCCAGTTTCTAAGTGTTTCTTTAATAATATGCAAATGAAGTCACCTAGGGATAAGGACTAATTTAAGACAATACTACCTCCCCTGAGAAGTATAGATAATAAATAGGAGATACTACAAATTGTTGCAATGGCAAATATAAGTAATGGAACTATTTTATAATTGTTTAACACTTTACAGGTCCTAAATCATGCTCTCTTATATTAACTTGTTTGATTTCCTAAGGGCAAGTCAGGGATTAATTATTCCATCAAATAATCAAGAATTTAGAGACACTGACTTACTCAGAGTTAAATTTTAGAAGGTGACAGATCTAATACTTGAACACAAGACATCTATCTTGAAATCCAAGATATTTTCCAACTTACTGTGTCCTGACATACCTATGTTGCAAGACACACAGAATTGGTCAGTTATGTGTGTGGAGATAAGATTCAGTAGAAAATGGGCAGCTGTAAGTGGACTATTTTTAAAAAATTAATAAGAAACTATTTGCAAAGGATTACATGGGCAAAACATATCTGATAAAAAATCTCCATGATTCAGTGGAAGAGGCTCAGTTTTTGCTCGTGAATAGCTTATAGTATAGATATCCTCAAAGTTCTCAAGGCCTAGACTGAACCTATGGATAATTTACAGGTCTTGCACCAGACAGGTATCCCTTGAATCTCTGAATCCTAGGATATTTGCCACCCACTGGGAATTCCCAGAGTATCTGACATGCTAAGTCTTAGATGCGGGAGAATGATTATCTGCTGTGACTTTGGGTTGGAAATAGGACAATTCAGTCTCTATTAGAACACTCAATTTGAGTGTTCTGTAACTTTTATCCACATATTCTCAGATGTAAATAAGTTTGCCTATTTATATATAAATTAGTTTTGAAATTTAATGTTTTTTTCTAAATTTAATTTGTTTCTTCTTAGAATGTCAATCAGTTTAGATAGAAAAGATTGTATATATGATTCGTTGCCAGCTTTTATTTTATGTACCGGGTCTAAACATTTTCTCACAACCTCTGTATCCTGAAAATTCTTGTGCAGGGTATAACTTCTTAAGAAATAGTCTTTCTTCTTTCTTAACTTTTATTTTTTGTATTCCTCATGGTATCTTCTTGAACTTTTGGCAATATTAAACAATTAATATGTTTGTCATTCTTATTTTGTAAAGGGTATATTTAAATCTTTTCATTGCCATTGGATGGGTAATATCTTTCAGCGTTTTAAATTTATTATAAATATGCTCATCTAAAATGGCAACTACTTTATTTAAAAATGCATTGAAATTTTGGCTCTTTTCTTCATAAAACTGTAAAATAACATGGGTAACTAGTTCACTTATCTTCATAAACAGCTGTGTTTTAAACATAACATTTTTCTCTAATGTGAGAGTGATTTGCTATAAATACTGGCAAATACATAAACAATAGGAAGAAGAAAATGAAAAGCACCTATTTATAATTCTGTCACCTAGAAAGAACCATCATGAAAATTTTGTTCCCTCGGGAAGCATAAACATAACACTGTTTCTGTATGCCATTCAACATGATTTTATGTGTATAGTGGATGAGGAAGGGATGACTCCAAGGTATTAAATAAGTAAATTAATAAGTAGTAAATAAGTAAAATCTGAAAGTGTTTGTTATTTACATATCCCCGTTTTTTGTTTGTTTTGTTTTTACCCTTGACTAGTTGTGTAAGGAACATCTCTTTCCTTATGGTTTACACCCGAAACCATAGCTCTACAGAAATGTAATTACAACACTACCAGTTGCAACATTTGCAAATCACAGAGCTCAGACTCAAACTCATTCTCCTGGCATCTCAAATCCCAGTAATCCAACTTCTCACGACAATCCAACTACTTCATCTATTTGGATTCCTGCTACAATTTGTTCTTTTGACCAAATTAAAAATCATTCTAAAAGTTTGCCTTAAAACACCCTCAAAGTGTTACTAAATTAAAGTTAAATCTCAAGTATAAATTTTCATCCAATTAGTTTTGGTTTTGCCCGAGCAGAACACCCCACAGATGATGCCGAATAAAAACTATTTACACATGACCATAGTGCATTTCTTATAAAAACGTTGGGTCTTTAGCAGTGATTTGCTAATCAAATTCAGAATTTGATTTGAAATGCCTCCGGCAGGCAGCCAATTCAGTTATGAAAGAACAGAAGCAAAACCCAGGGTCCTGGTGAGTCTCCTCCAGAAGCTAGCCGGGTCTTTTGCTCTCATTAGCAAACTGGTTCCATAGGAAATCTGCAATTGCTCTAAAATAAAATATCATAGTTAATTTTTTCAATAAATTATTGGACTAGACACAAAACATGTACATTTTGGAATCTAGAGTTATAAAATATTCTGACATGTTTTAATATAAACAGGAATGTTTCCAATGATTGCCTGAATCTAAAATGTTTTTCCACTTGACATTTGTTTATACTTCCTAGGAAAGAAACTCTATTTATGGATAACTGAATAACACAAATAAACATCAGAGAGAGCTGAAAAATCAGCTTTGATTATGCATGAAGATCTACAATGTCATTGTGTACTCTTATGCCGTTTTCTGATTGCCTGTTTATTTTTACAGAACTGCTGGTGAGCCCATGGAAGAGGAGCCAGCCTTGTGAAGTGCCAAGTCTCCCCCAATATTTCCTGTGTGTGACATCATTGTGTACCCCCCACTCCTGCACCCTCAGACATGTCTTGTCTGCTGCCTGGGTGGCACAGATTCGATGAAACATAAACACTGGGCACACAATTCTGAACAGCAGCTTCACTTGTTCTTTGGAAAGACTTGAAAGGGCATTAAAGATTCCTGAAACATAACCGCTGTGATTCTAAAGTTACAGTAAACCACTATTGGAAGAAACTGCTTCCAGCGTGCTTTATTATGCTGAGTGACCCACTCCCGGACAGAGTCTGAATTAGGAACATCCAGGACAGCATTAGATCCTGTTAATTTCAGAAGCTAAGACAGCCAGTGAAATTTTGGGCAAAACCCAAGACACTCATTCCTAACATTCTGATCAGGTTTTTATTGGATAATTTTTGGTTTTTGTCAAACAGTCTTAAATTGTTTATAGGATTTGCTTTCAGCTATGAACAGATAGCAAGTTCAGGAAGATCGTAGAGGGTTTTTTGTTTTGGTTTGGTTTGGGGTTTTTTTCTCTTTGTTTTAGCACATGGTTCAACTCTTCCTAGTAAGAGTTCAAGATGGAGGATCTGGGTGAGGCTTTTTTCAGTGGAATAAACTCACTGTATCTCAAAGCCCAATGCCAAAGTATCCTCCCACACTGTAATTAATGGTGCAATATTTATGTCACCTTTTCTTGAGAGAAATCACCCTGCCTCTGAAACAACCCTCTCATGTCATCAACTGTCTGCAATTGCACTGGAGAATAAGATCTCTCTACCTCCCTCCACCGCCTTGTCCCGATGCAGTAGCTCTGAAAACATGTTACATAGAGGATTGCCATGACTCGGAAAAGCACAAAACTCTTCAAAGATGCTCTTCGTTTGTTCCAAATCTGTCAAGAACTTTTTCTCTCACTTTCCTTTTCTGCCCTCCTATGCTTCTTCTTCTCTTACCTTCCAATCTTTCTTCCTGTAAAAAAACTGAAGATTACTCATAATCTCTCCTTTACTCAGGGGAGTTGAGTATTTAGTTTATTTTATTTACTTTCCAGGTTAAATAACTGTTTTACCCAATTGTGTTCTTTTAGCTGTGAAGCCATTGGCCCAAATATGGCTTAAGCAATGTCACTGAGTTGTCTGAATCTTTGCATTGTGTTAATGAAGACACTGCTCCTCTGAAGTCACTGTGGATTGAGTTAGCCTAGAAGCTCTGCATTCATGTGAAAACAAACACAAAATAACCTTTGCACATGTTACTTTAGTGGCAAAGGTTAAAAATAAAGGCCATTTGTTTCAGAGATTAAAAGCAGTTCACTAAATATAAGCAAGTTATCCCCTATTTCTGAAAATTCTGTTTCGATGTATAACTCAAACACCTAAAGACATCGGGGTAGAATACCTCACATATTTAATATCTGACAATGCTTTTGAAAGAGTTGATGTTTCTTTTTATATATTTTTGCTAACTCAAAGGATATATTGAAGCCATAAGTGAAGATTGTCATGCTGTTATTCAGAAATCTGAAAGAAACCTTAATTAAAACAAGGTTTTAGGGAAGGCCCTGATATGAAAGATATGAAACAATATGGTTTTAGTTAGAGAGGACTCTAACCTGTAAATCAAAGATGAAAGATTTCACTCAAGTAGAATTATATAACTCCCTTTTGTTATACAGTCAGACCATATTTTTCATGCATTGGTATTTTTTAGGATTACCATTTTAATTTTAAAGACTTTTATTACATACACAAAAATGGCTCACTACTTGGTTTAACATCTTAGAAATTTGAGATACCATTTGAAATAGGAAATCTGAAATGGAATATTACTCATTTTAGGTAAAAATTACTTTCATTGAAGGGTTAGGTCAATCTAGACTCATAATAGTAATGAATTCTTTGTAAATTTCATTTTCTTGATATTTTCAGAGACATTCATGTCAAACATATTTGTTAGCTCTTGTTATTTTGTACTAATTACTTAAAGAAAACTAAGTAGTAGAGACAAAGGTTTCAAAAAAGACCCTTTCCCATTAAAAAAGGAAAAATATATCATATTTGTATTAGAAACATCATTGTGAAATTTAAAAATCCACTTCATAATTTTAAATCCTTATCATTACTTTTCAGTATTCCCAAATATTTTTAGATGTTGAATAAGAAAATAAAACAGTGTAGCTAGCATAAACATATCATACAATGTTTCCTTCAACAAGTTACCCACGTACTAATGCTGAGCCTCCAGTCTGATAAAACCAAATCACTGGGACATTTTCATGATAGTTTAGATTTAAAGCATGACTCATAGGTGTATTAATTATACAGACTTCCATGTGATATGATGCCCAATTGGTTGTCATTAGAATCATTAGAATACCCAGAGAGGCACATAAACAGTGGAGGGGATTAATCAGAGCTGAATGTAGTAGTAAGAACAGAATACTGATCCTTTTTGATTATACTGTTAATATGAAGGAATGTAGTCCTGAGAGACAGAATGAAGACAGATGAGAATATGGACACTTCTTTTGAAATAGACCAGCATGTTCTGAACAGGGAATTTCACCTGGTATAGTTTTCTTCACTTACATGTTAATTTCCATTGCTCACAATGGTTTTCAATGAGTGGCTAGTGGAAAAGATGCTCTATACGCTTTCCCATTAGATATCTTATTGTGATCCATACTTTAAAGGATAAATAAATAGATTCTCTCATAGTCTAATGTTGAATAAAAATAATGATTTTGGGTAATTCTACTAGTAAACAATGCTAGGAGCTTAATGATGTTTTATAACAGCTACCAAAAGAAAAAAAAACCCTGAAAAAATAATGAAATACATAGTATAATTTGAAGTTTTACATTAAACCAAAAAACACAATTTTATTAAGTAGTGAGCTAAATGGAGCCCTAATGAAACTAGAGGCTGTACTCTCATTGCTTAGCAAATGGGAAGAATACTTGAGATTGAATATTTAAAATATTTAACAAATTTACAACATCAATGGTGGAGCTAGAAGTCAGATTTTGGAGAAAACAGAGATAGTTATAAAATAATAATTATTAAAATTCACCAGGGCCAGGGATTTAGTTCAGTGGTTCTGCCACCTGCCTCACAAGTGCAAGGTCCAGAGTTTTATCCCTGGTACCAAAAAATAAAAAAAATTTTAAAAATAACCAAATTCCCATTAGCAATCCTAGGAACAGAAATCTTGCCTTCAGCTGTAACTATAACACTATATGACACTCTACTCAACTGACTGAGAAAAATGACCTACAAAGAAAAGGTGTCTCCTCCCACAAAGACTCAGAAATTGCAGAATTGGTCTTTCCTAGTAGTTCAGTCCTATTCTATCTCTGGAGGTCAATCATAAAGCCTTGAGAATTTACTGGGTTCCTTTACAGACTCCATATGGAAGTAAAATAGAATGATGATGTGGGAAGTCTCCTGGGAGAAAATTCCTCCTCAATCAGCATATTTATACTTATATTTATCCCAGCATATATATTAGAATAATTTAAACATTTTTACTATTTATCTTTTGAAAATTTACTCTCCATTTATCTCAACAGAGATAAGTATTAAGATCTAAGAGCCCCCAAAGAAGGCAAAATGTTCTGTCTTAAAAGTGACTCTGAGCCCGAAATAACAAGTCTGTCACAGAGTTTGACGTTATCATTTCTAGTGTTATCCGTTGCAACATTCTTTTCCTGCTTCAGGAATGAAATCACTTGCCTGCTGAGAAAATAAGAGGAAACAAAAGAAAGAAGTAGGCGACAACACACCTGTTAGACTATTTCTATAAAGGGGACATTTTCACCTGCAACAGAAACGAAAACCAGATGATCGATGCTAAGAAGTGAAGCACTTTATTGTTGTCCTCAGAACTGAACGTTTACATGGTCTTGATCACTATCAAATTTCTTGTGCTTCCCATGAGCACAATTATATTTTGGTCTCTAGCAGTATTTGGTACAATTTACTGCCTTTTAATAGAAGTATTATAAAGTATTTCATCAGTGGCATCACTAAAATACGTAAGTGCCTATGTGTGGCTTCCTTTTCTGGGAATATTTGCATTGAAAATCATAGCCCTTGCCTCTTAACACTAACAGCTTGCTTTTGTTCCATCAAATGCTTCACACAGCAAAGCGTGATTGTCATGTGGTTGGAGGATGGAAATTTTAAAATAATATGGTATACACACACAGGACTGTAGAGCTTGGTTTCTCCAAACCAACTGCAGTTCCTTTAACCTATGGCATTCCTGGCTGGTTTCCTGTAATGTGTTAGGCAACCACTGAGTCAGTTACTAATATACTGAAAATAGCTGGGTCTGACAAACCTTAGACTATTGATCTGTGGCTGCTGGGTCCTGATCTTAATGGTAAGGTATTAGAATAAAAATAATTTATTAAACCATCTTAATTCTCAAACTGGAAACATTAGCAAACACAGTGAGTTCACTGAACAGTGCCAATCTTTCAGATCAATAATTTCCTTTCTTCCCTTCTCTGCTTTTTCTCCTGGCCTGCCAACACCAAATTACTATATCTAAGCAATCTGAAGCATTTCCTAAATCTTTAATTTTCTTAAGCAGAAACAACCTTCACAAATTCTTTTTTTCAGATTCCACTGGCCATACTTTCTTTCATGCCATTTTATGTGAACACTAATAGATCATCTTAATTCTCCTTTTTCTCTCTTCTTTTAGAAGAACGACCTGACTTCTTTTTTAAAACTATTTTTATCTTGAAAGATAAAACATGTTACTGTGCTTTTGCATATAGTTTCTATATAGAAATTATAAACAATTTTCTGTTCATTTCAAATACAGCCTCCCACCATTCTTAATAAGTGCCCCATTGTGTTGTGCTAGTTATTGACTGGAGAAGCGTGTACATATACTTTCTTGCCCCTTAGATTTCTTTGTGAGTCAAACCCACAAACATAAACTCCTATTTGATAAACAAATAGTAAAGGAGAACATTTAAGTCAATATATTTTAGAAGTAAAAGATCGCTAGATCCTTCAATGAAAATTGGAGTCTTTGTATTTTCTTGTTTGGGCCTTAGGCACATTAAGTGTAAGTTACAACATCCAATATAATGAGGGTTAAATATTTTTGGGACATCATGATCAGGTCTCTTAGCCTTCATTGCGTTGCCCTTTCTTTTCAATAGCATGTTTTAACAGTTGATAGAGTGATTGTAGCAATATCTGTGTGTTGGCTTTGTTAACTTAAAATTGAATAGAAATGGAGTAACGAAAGTACTCTGAAGAGTTAAGATTTCTATAATCTGAAGAAGGATGGCACCTCCTAGGTAGGTGAAAATTGTTTTAAAATCTCCATATGCTCTTCCCTTATTGTAAGATTCTCAAACTCTTTCTGAACAAACGGTGTCAGCGTCTATCTCGACAATAGCTAGGTTTTGTAAAATTGCACTTGCAGTGGTCACTGGCCACACGGACCACGATGGTCAAAATGGTGACCATTT